CGGTGCACTATTTCGATGTGATTTCGATTCCACAGCATGTTTTGAAAATGATCAACTGAAACGAACTAGTGGTAATGAATTTAATCCTAATGGAATTTCTACTAGCTTAGAACGTCCTAAAGCACCAACTTCGGATGTTACATCTATTAGTAAGTTTCATATTCATTCTGAACTCTAATTTCATAAATATATTGATGATTATTACAGCCCTTCCAACAAGTAACAATCAAAAATGCCATTTACCTTATCGATTACCATTTAATGGTAGTATCGATATCGGTATATGGGATCTGTACTTTTGTTATAATAATCAATGTAGAACACCGAATGGACTGACAGCAACATGTCAATTAGGTAAAACTTTCTCCATGATGATTGACTATTGAAAAAAAGTGTTCTTATTACAAAATGGAATTTTGCTTTTCTAAACGAGTTTTTACTGGATATTTCTTGTTACAGTTTTATAGTGCTATAAATATTGCAAATTTAATTAAATGCTTATAGTTGAAATAAAATTAAAGAAAACCTATCATGAAAAATTTCATCTTTTCTATATAAAGCAAGTTTCATATCCTGTAAAATTTAATGTTTTTTATAGGTTTATATGGTCTAGTATCACTTAATTCATCAGAACCATTGAAGACAATCAATGGCTCAGTCGATTTTAACCTTACTCTAGGAGATTCAATTGGAGAACAATGTCTTCGATTTTATTATTATTTTACTTTTGATGAAGGACAAGATTGGGGCCAGCAGATTCACGTGTGGATAAGATCTGCTGATGAAAGTGACAATGAACTTTTAATTACGAATCTTACAAGAAATGATACAATAGAAAATAAATGGCAATTTCACGATGTCACATTTAATTCAAACTTTTCTAATTATACAGTAAGACATGATTTTTTTTTAGAAAAATTCATTAAGAAATAAAAATGTTGAATTTTTAGTTAGCTTTTTCTTTTCTTATTGATAACGAAACTGAAATAGAACAATCAATATTGAATCAAACGATTTATTTTGCATTAGATAATATAGAAATATATGATTATAACTGTTCATGTTAGTGAAATGAAAAGAAGAGTTTTCAATAAAATTTTGAATAAACTTTGATTTAGATGTCAATGATACATTGGCTAGTTTGACAACTCCACCGAGCACTACAGTAGGAGTGACTCCGCCAGGTAAATAACTGACGGTTTCCAGTTATTTTTTACTATTTTTATTTTACATCTCGTAGGACCAAATGCAGGATTAATTACCGGTCTCACAGCCGGACTCGGAATCCCTGCTTTAATTTGTATCACTGTTGTTGGTTATTTTTATAAAAGACAGAGAGATATCTATGATAGGGAACGCTTCGATATTCCGATGATGACTAGATGTTATTGCGCAACTACGAAACCATTAAAGAATGCATGATGGCTCTAAAATCGATTGTTACTTTCAATTTTTTTGTAATGTTTATCTTCTCATTTTCATTCCTAATATGTTTGTATGACAAATGATAATATGAAAAATACGATAGACAAATTTGATGAAAAGTCAGAGGAAATTCGAATAATACCTTTTTTATGTTTTTTGATTTATATGAATTTCCATGTACTTTTTAAAATATAGTATAGACGTTATGCACTACGAAAATTTCATATCCATAGTAGACAATTTACGAAACAAATATTAATTGAAAGTATAAATTCTAAGTTTATTAATATTTTTTGTTAAACAAAAAGAAAGGCGAAAACTATATAACATTATATATACAATCATTTCGAATTCAATTGATTTATGCATTATTCTTGTTGTTGTTGTTCAATGTTCAAATGATCATTTTTCCATTGTTCAATAAATCTTAATGTTTGCTGTCTTTCTTTTGCTATACAAATAATTGTTAATAGAATCATTATAATTGTTATTGAACTCAATATAACATGTCCATAAATAACAATATTATTAATGGATAAACGAACAAGAATTAAAGTAAGCCGACCAAGAAATTCTAATAGAAATCCTATTGACCAAATACTTGTTATTATATAGCATGTAGAACGAAATGATGAACAATGTGTATAAAACCATTCATATACTTGAGCAACTTCTTGTTTATAAGATAATTTTATTATTGAATGTTCATCATCATGTCCCTCATATTCAAATATATGATCAGGTAATCCAACTTCATGTCGTTTTATTGGTACTAAATCTTGATAAAAATAATAAGCAAGTGGACGTATATGAAAATAATATTGACAACATTGTAATGGTATTAATGTTAAAGCAAATATAATCGATAAAATTCCAGTTATAATAGATTTTTCTAATAGTAGTACAATTGGATTATGTGTTATCAATGCAACAATAGCCGAAATAAGAAAAGCAATAAAAACAAGAAAACCAAGTGCATCAAATGTTCGTGATAGAATTCCTTTTATAATAACCATAATAAGTGGTGGTATACCAGCAATTAAAAGAGCATAAATTGATTTAATACGTTTTTGAAGAGAAAAATAAAGAACAAGTGGAAGAATAACATCAACAAGAATAGTAATAAGAAAACGTGGTATATGATGTTTAAATGTATTCCATATTGAAAATTGAATGTGTTCAGATGAAATAGGATTTTGTTGTCGAATAGATGAAGAATTTGAAGCCATTGGATAATTGTAAAGTCTAAAGTAAAATATATATGTAATTTATCTTGTAAATTATTTCATTTTTTGTTGAATTGATTTATTGGTTTATATTGTTAATTTATTCATTATTTTAATATCATAGCATATAAATTTAAGCCAACATTAATCCCTATTATTAAATAAAGTATTTTGTTCTTATAAAAGAAATTTTTTTTTCAATAAAATAGTTACCTTATTCAATCGATACATTGTTCTTTTTTTTTGAAAATAATCTTTACATATTATCCTTATCATTCGTTTTTGTTGTATCTATTCAAAATCAAGAATATTACAAATATATGAACTAAATACAAACTTGTCTGAAGAAATCATTTGCGTTTCTTCTATTCACATATCTTTGTTGTCAATAGTATTTCAACCAACATGCGTTCAAATGTAAACATATGTGTTCTAAAAATAAATTAATATGAGAATGTACGTTTGATTTCATGTGTTCAGTATTAATGCTTGTTATAGTGCATAATCTTTTTTGTTTTTTGTTGATCTAATTTTTTTAAAATCTCTTTGAATAAAAGAGAACACTATTGTATTTATTTAAGTTAAGTTTAATATTATTAATATATCTTAAAAAAGTATTGATTGTATATATTTATGAATTAATCGATTTTATAGCGATCTAAAATATCGGTATATGCTCTCTATTTTTTTTTGGACTGAATAAAAACGTCATTTCAATGTTAACAACAAGATAAACAATACAATGATATTCATAGGCATCCATGTTTGTTCAAGGTATGAAAATGGAAATAACAAAGTACACTTCTGCCATCTATCATTCATGGATTTGACATTTACTTGAGCAAGAATACGATCAATGCATGGAGTATGAATGAAAAGAAAAGCTGATGATTATAAATAGCTTTACAGTTTTCAGGTAATGGCAAGAGACGAATAAACTAATACCTGTGATTTCTAGGAGTATAGACATCAGTGTTTCCTCTTGTGTGCATTGACTATTCGTAAAATACAACAATAGTTATCTCTAACAAAAAAGAGTTATCAAGACACATTTTATTTAATTTTTCATGTTCTTTTATGTTACCAACACCAATAGCATGGTGTAAAATTATCTTATATTTATATTTATCAGTAAAAGAAAAAAGAACGAAAAGATGATAGAATTTACCTGTGTCTTAATTATCTTCTATATTTACGTTAACATTCTATAATGAATCTCAGTTTTTTTGTAAATAACTTTTATCACTTTGATCAACCTCTTCCTCAACTAGAAGATAAGGCTTTGAATTCATTTTATCGATGGTTAAGCTCTCACTGAATGTATTATCAGAGGATCTCTAGTCCTAGTCTTTTTTATAGGAAACTTATCAACAAAGTATTGCTGTTTGTATCAACCATCTATTTCAATTCGTCTACTTATTCGAACAGCAGTAAAATGCAAGAAGTAGCTTTGATGGTGTTGTCTTTCCTTGAAAGGTACTTGTAAAAACTGTAAACAACAAAAGTATATTTGTCTTCGTTCAGATTATGTATATTGATATTGTGTTAAATGTTTCAACGATGAGTTTCTTTGTTTTGCTATTATGATTATTTGAAAATGATTTAGTAGCACATATTATCTTATCAAATCGATGGTAATTTCAAAGATATCTATTTCTGCTCTATATTCATGAACTCATTGGAATTCGCTCACTTGTATTACAATGGATACCAATAAACAAGAATATGTATTGGAAAAGATTTTCCTATTAGCTATTTGGATTTATGGTATATTTTGTATTTCAGTATGAATAGGTCGTTATGAGATATTACAATAATCGTTAACTTAAATAACAGAGTCATTTATATTATAAAAATAAAAAATCTTCCATCTTGTCGGACCTTTATATTCTTAAATATATACACTGTTAGGTGTGGATGTTCAGTGTTAGTGCCGATATCAGTGAGAGTTTGCTAGAACCGACGCTCACACCCAATCCTAGTTTGTCTGCTTTGAGCGATGAGACAGGCATGATTCTAACTCAGTTAAAGAGAAGGTCTTTCGTATGAACATTGAAGTTTATTTAAATTTAATTAATGGTTTCATACACATGTATGTATCTGCTGTTTCGTAGTATTGAACTTATATAGGGTGTAGGTGTGGTGAAAAAGAACATTCACAGTCATAGTGGTAATACAATATGTGCAATAGGCTATTGTTATTTTTTACATTGTTTTATAGAAAAATCTTTCCGAGATAGGCTGAAAAGTATGTCAGAAACTATTTCTATTTTGTTCTTGATGCGTTTTTTCCAATATATATAGTAGGCGAGACATCAAATAAGCCAACGAAATATTGCTAATAAACACCTATGCTTGTGGTAAATTAGCTGGTAGAACTTTGAATACAAAATCAGATGGAAATAATTCAGCAGCTTTTGGTAACATTTTTTTATACACTTGTCGTATTGTACTTTCCACTGCACCAGCAGCAACTTGAATATCTTTCATCAGTTTCTTCTCACCAACAGCAGCACAAGCCATATAAATTGATGCACCTGCAATAGAATCTGGCGCACGACTTTGTATATCGCAAACTTCTTTTGCACGTTCGGCAATATGAACAGCTGTTTTTCGAATAAGATTTTTTTGATCAAGTTCAAGTTCAAGTTGATTACAGAAACGAGGTACCAAATATTTGATTTCCATTGATTCAATTCGATTCGAATTCGGTAAACTACGAACAATATGTGTAAAACATCGACCAATATCTTTCTTTGACGTATTTCCAGATATTGCACATATTTCTTTAATCGTACGTTGTGCACCTTCTTGTCGACAAGCTATATAAATACATGCTGCAGCAATAGCATTATGTGGGCGACCGCGTACACATTGATTTTCATAACATTGTTTAAAAAATAAACATGCTCGATTAATAATTCGACTTGATAAACTAATACGTCCAGCCATTTCTCGAATACTATCATAACCATTTTTTAAGGCTTTATCGGCAGACGAACTCTGCTGAGAACCATTGCTATATTTTTGTTTACCGAATTCATCAACTGCACCTGCACCTGTTCCTTTCGACGTAATAGTTTCAAGATTATTACCAGCAAATAGAAAATTTTCTGCAGCTCCAACACGGCTCATATCTTTTGATTCACTATCATTAGAAAATGTACGCCATTCAGAACTAACATCAATCATTCGATCACCAACAACCAATCCGCATTCACCACAAATCATGTCACCAGCATGATAATCTTCAATCAATTCCACTTCCGGATGAAATCGACACGCTAATTGCTTGACACATCTTGACATTGTTGAGTATTAGCACTAGTTAATATGTATTTTCAAAAATAGTTCTTGGTTAGTCGTAATCAGCAACTTTATTCCATAGTATATGTGGCACGGCATCTTGTTTGTCCTGACACTTATCGTCTTGATAAAAATGAAAAGAAAAGAGGAATGTGTAAAAATACGCAGACGTCATGATTTGCATGTTTGGAAAGAAACTTGCGTATTACATTTTACCCTAAGGTAATTACTCATTTCTTATGAAAGTCATGTTGCAATTACGAACATGTGCTGACAAGCAGCAACACTGGCTTGCCAGCGCAATTTTTTTTTCAAATGAAACGTGAAAATGCAGAAATTAATGTGTTACAGAACTCATTTGTTTCATAACTTGCTCACACGCATATTCTTTCAAACAGTATTGACAATGAGCAACAGTAACCTTATGAGTATTTGGAAAATAGCCCTTTCAGTCGTTTTTCGATAACCAAGCTACACTACAGATTCAATCGTAGTTACATTTCCCGGTTTCATTACATTTTTATATGAAAAATTTTGCTCTGGTAAGCTAAATTGCCACTAGACCACGCGTTATTGTCATTGCAACGTGTAGTAAATAGTCAGAAGCAACTTCGTTCGGTACAGTGTGTGAGACACGACATCGTGTTTGTCCTGTCACATATCATATTGATTAAGGTAAAAAGAAAAGTGTCACAATGCGCCAGATATCATGATTCGCATATTTCAAAGAACAGATGCTTATTACATTTTATCAAGACATATTACTCATTTCTAATGAGACTCATGTTGCGGTGACAACATTGTGTAGACTGGTGGCGACATCGATCTATTAGGACAACTTTTTTGGCAATGATTTAGAAAATAGTAAACGATTTCATGCATGTTTCAGAATACCTATATGTAAAGTATGATGTCCAACAAACACTTTTAGATAAATTGTTGTACAGATAATATAACAGTAAATGTAGTATTTAACGTCCTTTGTGTTGAGTGTGTGGATGTGGGTAGGTGCAGATCTTATCTACGAGTTAAACATACACCTACATCGAAACCTCACACACCCATACCTAAATCGGAAACCATACTGTTATTATCACAACTTGATATTGATTTCGCTGACTTATTTGACAAAACATTCCTGTCAGTGAACATTGTACAGCCGGTCATAGAAGAGATACTTTTCGTAATGAGTTTTCTCAATAATTTCAATGGCAACTACTAGACTTATACTACAGAGGAATAATTAATTCTAAACTCAGTGCTGTCGGCAACTGTACTTCAGTTCACTGCTTGATAAACATGCTAATTTTAAGTAGTCATTAACAGTAAACACACTCTATAGATAACATACTCTTCTTTAAAGTAAAGGATAGTAAAAGAGGAATAGTCACGGTATAAGTTATCGATACAAAATTTTTCAGTTCTTTCATCGCACACTTCACATGCAATCAGCAATCTGAGAATATATATTTGTCAAATATACTTCTCTTACAGTACCACGATTTAAAACCTTTACTGTCCTTCCCCTAAAACACGAAAAATTTTGAACGTTTCAACAGCTTGACTTAACTCACGTGGGAATTGTTCAGGAAACAATTAAAACAACTTGAAACGCAGCTGCATACATGGAAATCTTTGCCTACTCTGGCAAAAAACTAATCCATCTCTTTTTGCCCAAACAATCAACTTTAGTACTGCTCTCACACAACTACATAAAAGCCTCAACAAAGCCATTTACTTAATCACTTCTTCTAGACATATGGATGTCGAAACATAACATCAAATTTAGAAAGGATTCCTACGTTATTCAGTCATGCATCAGCCAAATGTTGTGCCTCTTTGTCTCCAATTTGATTGAGTTAAAGATCTAGTGTGGCAAATACCTGTGTTAAAAAATACAAATGAGAAAATGGACGAAATGAAGAGCGAATAACGGTCATCCTATTGTTTCGAATGCGATCTATTTGAATTCGTTATCAAAAGTTTCGAGTATATTTACTGTGAATACAATTCATTAGGCCATGTTAGTAGCGATGGTTGTATGCATTCGGTGATTGAAAGGAACGAATAGTCGGATGATTTATGAATTATGCTACCTGAATCACACTTAGGTCGATGCCTGTATTTGATGTATCGGTAATCTCAAATATTAGATATAATTGAAGATTTGTTCTTATTGAGAAACTAATTGTAACATGAAGTAAAATGAAGGTTGAGGGGTTTGGAGTTTTGTGTTCTCTGTACACATCTTTATTTGGAATTGTGTCTAACATTTAGCAGCTTACGACGAAGAAATTGCCTGTAATACTCTAGTTCAGCAGTTGAAGTTTGCAATTTACAATTTAAATAAATCATGATTCATCTATCCATATATTCATATAGGTACTTTTATTTGAATGTATGTCCGTTTGAATCATGTTTTGCTGAAATATTTTCTTACTGCGATATTTTGTTAGTTGTCACTATGCGTCATCGGTAATATTTATATTATAGTAGATTTTGATTGTGTCTTTTTGAATAATGCATTTGTGTGGGAGCTTATATGCGTATTGAATTGAAATGAAAACGGTATGCAGAAACGTATGACAGCAGTTACTTGACGTCAGAAGCGGTCATTAAGGACATAATTAGCTTGCTGCGAATTTTTTTAAATTATGCTTTGTTGTCATTCTCAGAAGTTCTCACAGAATACATTCAGATAGAGGTACATTTGGAATGCAAAAATTAAAATAATAGACAGTTCAAGTTATAAAAGAAAATTAGCAACTTTTGAGCGTAGCTATTTTTATAAATACATGATATTTTCAAACATGCTTACGTAAGCGAGAAAGAAAAAAAGTAAAGAGAGGGATTGAGAGCATGATAAGCCAGCATAAAAAATAATATTATGATGATGTAACTATCGATAAAAGACAACCATTTGAAGTATTGAAAGGCTGCTCTAAGTATGTTTCACTTCAACTCCGTTTCAAATTATACTTTCGATATTGAAATACCACTTGAACTTCAATCCCATTTCTACATCTAGAATTTGTAATCAAGTAAAATGTGAAAAAGAAATTTTGCATAATTCGATTTATAGATGAGCGTAATTAGTGAAAATCAGAAATTGTTCTTTATTTCGACAAAATCCTTGAAAATGTTGCCACTGTTATGATATCTTTTTCCGAGTAATTTTGAGGGTGTGAGTGAGGCGTGGGGTGTGGGGCGTGGATATGAGTGTAGATGTGGATATGGGTGTGGTTGTGGGCGTGAATGTGGATGTGGATGTGAGTCGGTGTAGAGCGTGCTTATAAGTGTATTTGAGTAAGGTAACCACATTCACTGACTTCCACACTCCCACACATACCTACGTCCATACTCACACCCCGAGATGATATGATAATATCATTATTTTTATACAAAACATAAACTTGAAGATGATGAATATTGGGAGATGAAGTAAGAATGACTGAAATAACTAGTGGTCTAACAGAAAAGATCGACACATACTGAAGGGAAGGAGATATAGTCCATAAACTGCAAGTGAACTCATCGATGTAGTCCGAATTAACATGATGAAGAAATCCAAAGTGATCGAAGAACGCATCGGAAATTAATTTTTGTGGTCGAATGTATTTAGATCCTAACAAAAAAGATAAATGAGTTAGATTAGGAAGAATTTTAGAGTGAGTTTGTGTCAGATGGTTTGAATTCGGATTACATGATATTAGCATATGTAAATTAGAAAAGGAACTAAAATTACAGTCGATAGACGTCTACATTATCAATCGATTTACGTAAGGAGCATATAATTTCATCAACAATGAATCAAGTTTCACATCTAAAGTTAGACGTAGATTTTGACAGAGTTGAAGAACAGTGTTTAGTCTTGAATTGAGTTCTCAAAAAGCACTATATAAGTGTTGAATATCGATGAAAATGAATCTATACAAAAAATAATTCGTTAGGAAGTTCTTATAATGTCGTACATTCACCTAAATTATGTAACAGCAAAATAAAATTAGTCTAATCTTAAGTAGAATAATAAGTAACGATATGCTGAAATGTTCTTTTTTTAAAATATTGCTCTGATGAATTGGTATAATATTCAATAATGTTCTAATCAAGTACGATCAATTGAGTCTGATGTTAGGTATGATCTCATACTTAGCGGATATTAATAAAAACTCAATGTTTTAAAATATTTATACAAAGCAAAGAAATGAAAATTGATTCGATCATGATTGAGCATTCTGATGGCATTACTAAATATATGGAGAAAACGATGAATTATGAGAATTGTAAACATGTATTATGATGATGGGGAAAGGTGTGCGGGTAGAATGGAGTCATATAATATCTACACTCTCATCCATACCCTAAACATGATAAACAAGCTCTCGAGAGAAATAGAGCATTGATCATTCTCCCTGGGAGACCCTACATCGTTCACACCACTGTCGCATGATACATTTGTTTGGTGAAATAGGTGCACTCTCTTTTTATTTTGCTCTGAATTCCGAGAAAAAATCTCCAACAAGAGAACGTCAAACATTGTCTACCGTCACGAAATATCAACGAAAGATAATATAGCGGAGTTAAGTCATCATTACGAATTGTGTGTGTTCTCTCTTTTTTTTCTTGTCCTTCTTTTTTTTTACGACAACCCATTATTTGTGCTTTCTCTTTTTTTTTTTAAAGTTCGTCATCATATATACTGAAAGCGATAATCGACCTCAAAAAAAAGTCACAGACTTGATAAGAGCTCTTTTCAAATAAATACAAGCTATATTCGTGCATGCATACTTGCATTGACTATAGTCGTGGTTTTTGAGATCACATCACATCCTCACCCATATCAGAAGCAAGATGCCTATTAAACTATACGGAACGCCGACATCAACCTGTTCTCAACGTGTTCTTACTACTCTCATAGAAAAGGGTCTTCCGTACGAGCTTATCAACGTGAATTTAGCAGCCGGCGAACAGAAAGTACGTGAACGAACGGCAACTCAACGAAA